ATCGTTTTTTTGAAATTAAGGCACCAAAATTTGATATGATGTTGCTTTTTACTTACGAAACCAACCCTGTTCATCGGTTTTGACACATTTTTTAGTAGAATTAGTTATACGACGGTATGTGATAAAATGATAAATATTCTCTCCTTGTTAATCAGATATTTTGAATTCGATTTTTATACATTTTTTAATAGTATTAGTTATCCAACGACATGTGATAAAATGATAAATATTCTCTCTTTGTTAATCAGATATTCTGAATTCAAGATATGAAAATGAAATTACCTTTTTAAGAAGTGATGTATACTTTAAAATAAATTTCTTTATACAAAATAAATCGAATCTCAAAAATAAATAGCGAAAGAAAAAAGTTAAATCTTAGCTATAGAGCTACAAAGAGTAGTAGTAGTAGTAGAGTTTGAGTGGCCAATATATAATACATGTTTGCTAGATCTCAGGTGCCATCTGTTCCTCCTACTCCCTCTAGCTTGTCGAAAAACAGATTCAAAATTTAAATTTTATTAATTTTTATAATAATTCTAAATTTAATATCATTAAAATAATAATTAAATTCAAAATTATATGTGCTTATAGAAATTAATTAGATTTCTTTCATATTTACAAGATCTTAAAAGAAAGATTTTAATTATGTACACATAAATTATAAGTAGTAACAATATCTCTAAACCTGTCCTGAATGAGCCCATATATAGTAAATGATAGTGAAAACCTTTAGATGAAAAATCGTATTACATTATATATATACGTTAATAAGTTTATTTTTTTTATATTTATAAATTAAATTTAAATATTTTTAACGAAATTTCTGATTTAACGCACCCTCATGTGTGTTTCTTCTTCTGCATGGCATGCATGGCTCTGATCATAATCTCCCATTTATTTGCTATTTGTACAATTTTGACTTGCCCTTGCTCTGACCTCTCTGTATTTATTCAATTTTTTTTCTGAGTTTCAATATTTTTAAACCTTACATATATAATTTCTTCTACATATTTTAGTTCTTTTACATGTTCTTTCGTCGTGTAATTTATAAGTCATGAGTTCGAGTCTGAAAAATAAATAATAATATTCATATTAAGATAAACTATTAATATGTTATTAATTAATATAATTTAATTTTAATTTTAATTTGTTTGCCTTTGTGTGGGGATGTAAAAAATGAATCCAAACATAGGTAAGTCGTCTAATCCATTCGGAATTTCAAGGGTTGGACTTAAGATAATTTAAATTGAGTTCAATCTTCAGTTTCTACTCGGTTTAAAACTTTTTATTAATATATGTTTCTATATTGAAGGTATGAATTATTATTTGTTTAACCTCTTTTAGGATTTATCTATCTATTTGTTACTTTTTAACAAAAAATTCTTGAGCAGAAATTCAAATTGTGATTATAAAAATTAAATATCAATATGTTAAATTTTTTAGATTAATTGGCTCAAATTGGCGGGTCAAGATCCAACTCCTTTTTTTAGCCCATTTGAGCCCAAAGTAAAGTTGGGCGGATCAAGACCCAACCCAATTTCTATTCAACCTATAAGATTTTCAATTTCAACCCAACCCATCCATTTGACACCCCTAGTCTTACCGTATTATTTTTAGTCTATTTGATTAAAAATAATGTCTCTTTATTTATTTATATATTACTTAATCTTGTTTTTTTAATAGTTACTCCCTATGGTTTTCTCCTAGAAAAGACAACCAAAGTATGATGGAAAATAATTTAATTTCCTCTTCTAAAAGACGAAATAATTTTGAAAAAAAAAGAGGGTACAATTTTGGTACAATAATTAAATTGAGTTGCATAATTGTGGGACCTACCAAAAATTTTAATTAAATTTTTTTTTATCTATATTAGAGAGACTAACTTGCAATTGATACCACTTGACTTCTCCTAAGACCTTTCAATTACCGTAATTGATATCTCCACTAAAATCTGATTAAATTTAATTTTACGTACGTCCAATACATACTAGGTTTCCATTCATTTAGGATTATAATTAAACACACTTTCATTTATTTGCTCAATAAAAATTGACATATCTATATATTTAAAAGCTCTATAAATAAGTTATTGTCATTCATCGTTAATTTATCACTAAATATTTTATAATTGATAGGATGATTTCTTTTGCAATTCATCATTAAATAAAATTAACGACAATCAACAATATTTCACCAATGATTATTATACAAATAAATAATATTAGATCATAGATAGTGTGTCATTTAGAAATAAAGAGTAATAAAACATTGATAATGGTTCAAGACCCCTTTTTCCTATTTGAATATAAAAATAATGATTGGGAAATATTGGAACAAAGAGAAAATATTAATTAATACTCCATTGCCAATAGTTTTACTTCAACCAATTATTTTACACATATGAATATATATTATCATAAGATATTGTACGACAAGTGATCATACGAAAGTCCAAATTCATCTGAATCATTAATCATCGTTAAGTGTGTAATATTTGAAAATCAAAATTTTGATATACTAAACTTTTATTATATATGAGATTTAAAAATGATCAAATTATAAGAGTTTATAAAGTACAATTTTATCTTATATTTTTGTATATGTTAAAAGTTGTGACCTCTTGATCACATGACAATAATTTTACTATCAAGATTCGAAAGAAATATGTATTTCAATCCAATTAAATTGATAGGATAGATCAACCTATGAATAATTTTGAGTTTATCAAGATAATTTTTTAGGACCCCACATGGAATATATAATTAGCATGATCGATTAAAGGCCCCATAAATTGAAAATGATGCTTATTATTTTCTCATTTATTTCTTCAAAAAGGCTAAGAAAATTATTGCCAAAATAACATAGAGGTCATTATCATTAAATAGTAATTAGTACTAATTAAGTGAGAAGTGCCCTTTCGATAATTTTTCTTTGTAGAAAACTTAATTGTTGCACTATAGAGTGTGAGAAGAATGTTTGCTAGTTAAGTTGGAAAAAATGATTATTGGCTAGAAAAGTATATGATTAAAAAAAATTAAATATACATAACTTCTATCGCTAAACAACAAAAATTCATTAGTCAATTTTATATTTATGTTAACAATAAAAATAAAATAGTGAAGAATTATCATAAAAACATCATATTAGATTTAGTGATAAATTAATGACGAACAATATAAAATCAATTGTAAATAACTTTTATCGCAAAACAACGATCAGTTCTATTTAAGAGATAAATAACCAATCCAATACCTATAAAAAACATTCTTGGTGAATCATTAATGGTTGTATTTTAAAAAGTTGTTTTATCATTATATGGGAGTGAGTTGTCAACCCTAAGAAAAAGAAAAATAAGTATAATCATTATACTTAAGAAAATTATTATTAACTTTTTCTAAATTATGAATAAATAATCACCTTTTAGTTGAAAATTCTGAGATTTGAATAAATAAAACGCGGGCTAACTTGACACGTGTCGATCAAGCGATGGTTAAGAATTTGGCTAAGTATTTGTGTTTTTTTTTATAACTTTTTGAAACTTGGATTTTTTTTAATGACGTATTTTTAATAGATAATCTAGAATATGTATCTAAATAAATATTTGGAGATAAAATTTTGAAATTTGTGATTAAAGCTAATTAAATATTTACTCGAATTTGATACTTTCACCAAAACAATAAATGAAACACATTTATCATTTATACAAATACAAGATATAGATATCTATATTTTTTTCTGAAGTAAGTAAATGATATATATTCATACTTTAATGAGGGATTAATTTTAAAATTAAATTCTTTAATCTTGCATATTGAATAATATTTTCTCCATCTCAAAATACACGAAAGGTATTCAGAATATGAGATTCAGAAAATATACTTTTACTATGCATTTGAAGGTAGATTTTTTAATATTTAAAATAAAATTTGTATATTTAAAACCATACAAAAAGTACTACAAATCCTTTGTATGGTACAAAATTCAATATTTTATTTTAATAAAATAAATCATGAAAAAAAAATGTTTAACTTCCGAATAATATCATGTTCACATAAAATAAAAAGAAAAAAGTCTGAAATATATTCAAACTTTGGCAGGAATTGTTGTAATTATCCCAACCTTTGGGATAGACCTCCCCGCATTATATATTTATAGTGTATTTTAAAAATATATACTATTTTTAATGATTCAATATTTATGATGTCCACGTGGACACTTACATATTTTTAAAATACACTACTGAATAGCGCAGCGGAAAATAGGTTCTGCCAAAAGTTTGAAATTGTTACAGCAGTTTCAGTTAAAATTGGGATATATTTCGAACCCTTTCCCCTAAAATAAATTAGAGAAGTACTATAAATCCCAACAACTAGTTGAAAAATGTATGTTTGATTAAACAAATTTAGAAATAATTAAGCATGAATTTCCATTGAGTGTTCTATTTTCATATTGTGGTCCGACTAAATTCAAAAATATATCAAAAAAATCTCGCATTTTTTTATGTCAGTAAAACGTTTCCTAACAAAGTCACTTGTTAACGGGTAATGAGATAAGGGAACCATTATGAGCCCATTGTTATTGGGCTTTATTATCTTCCTCTCTTATGTCCATCTAGTATGGGCTAATATATATAACATGAGGCCCAATTTGCAGTTATACAATACATAGCTCAATATACACATGAGTTGAGAATCAATACTGAGTTGTATACGACACGGATTCAAATTAATCATTACTTTAAAATAAGTATCGTACATCGAACGAGAAAAGTAAACGGTCTACTTTTTTTTAAAAAATTACATAGAGAACAAAGATTTTATTATGAACTTGTGTTACTGTTTAGAAAGATTAAGATTCAAAGCCCATACATTTTTACTTTCCATACATTATCAAATCTTTTTATTTTGGGTGTTCCCTTCAAGGTGTTAAAAAGCTGAAAATTAGGGTTAGTGGGGGAAGGCTTTTCCTCTTAAAGTAAAAATTTATATGTATCGAGTATTTATATTAAATTGATATACGTATAACACGTGTTTGTATAAATATGTCTCTTACTTATCATAAATAATTAGTAAATACTTTTAATTTATTAAACACATAAATTGATGTAGTTTGAATTAAACAGTCGATACGATAATTTTTTTCCTAAGAAAAGAGGGTAGCAAGAAAGTAATTTTTTACGAAGTATTCCAACGTTTCTAGTCTTTTAGTTTTCTAATTTATTTTCTAGTCATCTTTTTATATTATATGATGTATTTATTCTTTAGGTGTAATCTTTTTTACTATTTGTAGAAATTACTTAACTATATAGAGAAAATGGGAATTTTATAGCAACGACAAAATAATTTTACGTGTGACAATATAAAAGTCATGAGTTCGAATTATGAAAATCGTCATTAATGCTTTGCATACAATAGATTGTCTACGTGACAATGCATCGCATACAACCATTTCCCGAGCCTTTTATACAAATACGAAATGCTTTGTTTATCGAACTATACATCAAACTAGACCAAGGTGCAGTCACTATCGAAAGACACTTGAAATCTATAAGTTTTACAGCAAGTGTATAGAGCATTTTAGCTTAAGCACTAAAATAAATTCACAAGAAATAATCATTATAAGTTTTACTTGTAATTTCACTATAGAGATTATCCTTTGGATAGGAAAATTTACATAAAAAGATGGCTTCTTGCATACTATTTTACATGATATTTAAACTTACTATAATTTATATTTACACATAATATAAATATATAGATTTAACCTGGTCTCAACTGATAATAAAAATATTTCAATTTTGAGTATGCACATCAATTGGACAGTATTTCAACTTACAAAATGATCATCGAGATATCAATAATGTTTTTTGACACGTCAGCGTCAAATGTCCACGAAACACAATATTAATAAATTTCATAGTAATCGAGACCAAGTTGAGATGTCTACATGCTGGTTCACAAATATAACTATCTTAATCATCAAAACAACAAGAAGATAATAGTACTATTAAACCTAATTCTAAATGTATAAAAAGGTAATTATTCTCCAACACTTAAGTATCCAACTCACAAGTCCATCACCTTTTTGCCTTACACCCAAAATCCTTCACACAAAACACACTCACTTGCAAGTTCATCAATAACTGGTTTCAATTTTCATCTCTATTCCACAAAATTTTCCCTTTCCATAAATGGCTTCCTTAATCCATTTCAATAATCTTAACCCTAATTTCCAAGAACCTTACCCTAATTATACTCAAGCAAATCTTTTATATATATTTATAAATGACAACTACTACTTATGGTGGAAAGAACATTATTATCGGGGGCAGTAACAACTCTAGAACTGCCCCCAATAATAAATCTTATTCAGGGCGTCACCCCGTTTACCGAGGAATAAGGAGAAGAAAAAGTAGTGGAAAATGGGTGTCAGAAATTCGCGAGCCAAAATCCCCTAATAGGATTTGGCTCGGGACGTTTCCGACACCCGAAATGGCCGCCATCGCGTATGACGTGGCAGCCATAGCCCTAAAAGGTCCCGAGGCGGATCTTAACTTCCCGAACTCGGCTGCCTCTTTTCCTGTTCCTGCCACGAGCTCTGCTCGTGACATCCAGACAGCTGCAGCCAGGGCGGCTGCAGCTATTGGGGCAGCCGGGGACGCGTTGTTAGCCGCGGCTGCGGTGCATAGGGAGGTAGTAATTAATGAAAAGGGTAAACTGGAGAATGTGGAAATTCAAAATTTTGAGTTTATGGATGAGGATTTGATATTTGATATGCCAAATGTTCTTGTTAATATGGCTGAAGGGATGTTACTTAGTCCACCAAGGTTTTATATGCATGATGATGATGATCAAACTACTATTACCTACCAAAACTTGTGGAATTATACCTAATAATTTGCTATTTCTACAAGCAACATGAGTTTAACATAATGTTGAACTTAGATAAGTAAAATATATATGTAAATTATAATTATGTGTGTGTTAATTTCAATGTTCTTTTATTGCTTGTAAAGGGTTTTGGTTCAAAGGAAGCAACTACTTGTGTTTTATTTTCTTGATTATTTTCTTGTTCGTTGACAATGAAAAGTCGCAGCTGCTACTTTTTGGGTGCGTACAGGGTAAACCCTCTCCCTTAATTGCTTAAACTTAATTTCATTATTTGTATTAATCTTCTATTTGTTCTTGTTTGATAAAGATATGATTATGGTATTCTATAATCAAAACCAAAACACTACCAAAATCAAGATTTTATGAAGGGCAATATATCAAATATTTAAAATGTACACATGTATATAGTGTCAAAAGGATTCACAATATATATAGTACATACATGTGATTAAAAAAATGTTTTGATCTATCTACACAGTATAATTTTTCGTGTTAAAAAAATGTTTTGATCTATCTACACAGTATAATTTTTCGTGTTAATCAAAGAATGTTAATTACCATAAGATGAGTTCTAAAGTTTGGAAGCTTGAACTTGAAGCTAAGCATAGATATTTATATAGAGACATTAACATTTGTATTTTGTTAGGTGGAAGCAACCAATTTTAGAAAGTTTTCTCAATTAGGATCATTGAGGTCTAGATTTTAGCTAACTAGGGTTTTGTACAACTAACCTTCTAATTAGTAATTTACTATTCTGCCCCCTTCTCTATTCTCTCTTTTTTTTTCTATTGGATAACATCGATAATATTATACTCTCTATTCTAATTTATGTGACAGTATTTGTCTGAAAATATAGTATACCAAAGAAAAAAAAATACTATTAGTGTGCTAGACACACATATTTATATATTTATAAATTATTTCATTAATGATAAAATGAGAAGATTATCTAACTAGATAATTTTGAGTTATTCTTTATATTATATAATAATATATATACACACAGAGGTTGGTTGAGGGGCATTTGTTGAGTTTGTTACTTAAGTTATTATGCTATTAGATTACTTGCCTCATATTTTGATATTTTCATTGTCTTTTAAATTACAATATTATTAATAGTAGCTATTATTTGCCTCATATTTTGATATTTTCATTGTCTTTTAAATTTTTAATTCTAATGATTTCGTTTATATTGGTATATTTTGATAAATAGATGAGTTTCGAGCTAATTTAATAAAGCTCAAGGTGATTCATAAAGCCCAAAAATTATTATTTTTTGTTAATTCTTTTGAAAAATTACCCAATAATGACACTTTTGCTCTTTCTTCCCTTTTTTTTGTCAACTTTTAATAAATTGAGATCATGGTCTATATATATTTTTTTTAAAAAAATTGAAAATTTTATGAGATTACGATCTAAAATTTGGTGCAAGTTATTCAAATATTAGACGACAGTTTAATATTTTATCAATAAAATTTTAAATAATATATAAATAAATATTAAACTCGAATTGACCACCACAATATATATATTGCACCTATTAGTCCTCTTCCCTATCAATCAATTGACAAAACTTGCATGTGATGTTTAATTGTTTTCTAATTAGTTCCAACCAATTTTAACAATAAAATAATTAAAAGTGCTCAATTTATTGCCTATAAACAAATATTAACCTCTCAATCATTTTGTTTCTTAATAATTACACTCTCCAACTCACTATATACTAGCTAACATGCACATATCATCAATTGGACATCTCTTTTCCAAAAAAAAATTCAAAATGAGTGAAATTTCAATTGAAGATCAACATGTTGTAACAATCAATTGGGAAATAAACAAGACTCAACTAGAGTTGATGCAACAAAAGATCTCCCAACCACCTCAACTCCTAAATGAATCCGCGGGGCGGAGTTCTTGTTGCATTTTTCGTGTACCTCAAAGTTTTATTAATGTCAATGGTCGATCCTACGAGCCTCAAATCGTGTCAATTGGTCCATACCATCGTGGAAAAGACAACGTTAAGATGATCGAAGAGCATAAATGGCGATTTTTGGGCAATTTAGTTAAGAGGACAAAGGAAAAAGGGCTTAGTTTAGAGGACTATTTGAAGGCAATTCAACCATTTGAAATGAGAGCTAGAGAATGTTACTCTGAGGCAATAGTTCTCAACAAAGATGAGTTTGTTGAAATGTTGGTACTTGATGGTTGTTTTATAATTGAGCTTTTTAGAAAAATTGGAGGGGTAATTCCAATTGAAAAAGATGATCCACTAATTTCAATGTCTTGGATATATCCTTTTTTCTTGAGGGATTTAATTAGACTTGAAAATCAAATCCCATTTTTCATACTTCAATTCTTGTTTGACTTTACCAATATTATTAGCCAATCAAGTAATACTCCTTCTTTAGCCAAATTGGCTTTGACTTTCTTTAACAACACATTACAAAGACCTAATGAAGTTCTTGAAAAGTTTAGTAATCTTGAAGGGAAACATTTACTTGATTTTCTTAGATCAAGTTACATTTTTCTTGAGCCAAAAAATAGAAGGGACCATTCACCTACAAATGTCATACAATGCATCTCAAAGCTTCGTCGCGCGGGGATCAAGCTTAGACCTAGGAAAGAAGAGACATTCTTGGCTATAAAATTCAATAATGGATTCATTGAGATGCCAACAATCACAATAGATGATTTCATGAGTTCATTCTTGATAAATTGTGTGGCATATGAGCAATGTCATGTAGATTGTTCAAAGCACATGACAACATATGCAACATTTCTTGATTGTTTGGTGAACACACAACATGATGTTGAGTATTTGTGTGATTGCAATATAATTGAGAATTATTTTGGGACAGATTATGAAATTGCTAATTTCATCAACAATCTTGGGAAAGATGTTATGTTTGACATTGATGAGTGTTACTTGTTGGAATTGTTTATTAAGGTGAATGATTATTATAAGAGTAGTTGGCATGTTCATTGGGCAAGTTTTAAGTATACTTATTTTAGTTCACCATGGTCTTTTATTTCAGCATTGGCTGCTCTTGTGCTATTGGTATTGGCCATTCTACAAACACTTTATTCTATTTTGAGTTATGTTCACCCTATTTCTTGATTTTGACTTGCAAATTATTTGAATATTTGGGGCTTTGATTATATATATATATATGAGCTTGGAATTTCATTTTTATTTTCTTGTTAGTTGGAATTACGATTCTCAGACAAAGTTTTTGAACAGAATTTCGATAGGTGAGATGTATAAGCACTGCAAAGTGTTGAACAAAATTTCGATAGGTAAGATGTATAAGCATTGCAAAGTGTGAAACAATCTCTTACCAACAAGGATAGCATCAACAAGTTCTTTATGTTAAGCCCTAGTCATTATGTTATTTTTTTATATATATATATGACTACTATAGTTATAGAGAAGGTTTAAATTAAGTTAACAAGGACGAAATTGCTCTTAAATTATTTGAAATTCGTCAAATTTACCTTACCTTATAATTTTGGTTCTAAAGTACCCATGTTATTATGAATATTTGGGGCTTTGGTTCTATATATGAGCTTGGAATTTGATTTTTTATTTTCTTGTTAGTTGGAATTACATGTAATAATTTTCTCGGACGAAGCTTTTGAACAGAATTTCAATAGATGAGAAGTATAAGCACTGGAAAGTGTGAAATAATCTCGTACCAACAAGAATAGCACCAATAAGTTCTTTTTCTTAAGTCCTAATCATTATGTTATTTGTTATACGACTATTATAGTTAGTAGAGAAGGTTTTAGATTAAGGTAACAAGGACAAAATTGCTCTTAAATTATTTGAAATTGGTCAAATTTACCTTTAACGTTATAATTTTGATTCTAAAATACCCTTGTTCTTATGTTTTTGGTTCAAAAATGCTTTCGTCGTTTTTTTTTTAACTCAAAAATACCCTCAACAAGCAAATAGTTCGAAAAAAATTAGAGGAACAAAAAAGGTGAAGGTCCAATTAGGAGTACCCATCTCGACAAGCTAGGGGCCGTGAAAGCGCCAGCCTGGCATCCTTCCACTACACAAAGAAGGACAATATCGCTGCTCCGTGAAACCAGCCTGACACCGTGCCCTCCTTTTTGAGGAGAGGGCACGGCGTCCATGCCGTCGCATGGACACAACAACAAGGCCCAACTCAATGCTTGGATAGGGGCAAGACTAGCATTAAACAAAGCCCAATAACCATCCAAATGGGCCTAATGTTCTATCACCTTATTGCTCCCACTTGGGTTACAGGCCCACGTTACAAGGCCCAGTGATCATAATTACTTCCTTAATACTTATTAATAGAAAAGATTAGCTTTTCATTAGCAATGTGGTAATTTTTCTATTCATATAGGTAAAAATTATATCTTTTATACAAATATAATTTTTTTGAATTTCTTGGTTCAACATGCATTTGTATTTGTATATAGAATCTGCGCAAAATATTTTTTGTTCGAACTAACTCGTAAATTACTGATTAGAAATGTTTATATCTGACGATCTTTACTTCTTTTTATAAAAAAACATCGAAAATACTTATATAACTCGATTCAATGAATAACATTACATTTTTGTCACAAGTGTTTGTCTCTAACGTAGAACTCCACCAAACACGTTTTGGATTTACTATAAATCAATATTTATATACATATATATATATGTATTAATTAAAAAGAATAGAGAAAAAAAATTATTGCATTTAAATAAAAAATTTCTTATTTGCTATAAAACAAAAGTATTGTCCTTTAGTGATATTTTGTCTTTCAATAATAAAAAAGTTTTTTTGACAAAATTATACGATGGTCCCCTTAAAAAGTTCAAGATGCAACATTTGGTTCTGCAATTAAATACGTGGTCACATTGTGTCTCTTCAACAAAATTTCCTTTCTATCCTCAATTTATATCGTCACGACTCATGGTGGGATAGATACAATTTCGTTATTTTTAATCAAATGTTCAAATATAAATTTTACGTATAGATACAATCCTAGTAAAAAGTTCTATTAGGAGGTTTTGGTTGAATCAACTTGTTGAATATGATTGCGATTAGTATTATGAAGAGTTAAAAATAGTTTCGTATTCAAAACTTAGATCATGAAATTTCTAATTAAAAAAAAGTATGCATAACACTTTACAA